ATGTAAGGTTCAAAAACTGGCAAGACTAAATAGTACCATTTTAGAAACATTATCTAGGCATCTATTAAAATTGGAGGGGGCTTTATACTTGGTTAACTTTTGTAAATATTCAATGTTTACTGAAGAGTGTGCTTTCCATTTTGGTACTAGAACAACACTGTCAGTTTGTCTGCTTATTCTACCAATCTGAAAGTAATTTGTTTAAAATCATCCCATCGCAATTGTGGATTTGTCAATTGTCTTTTTAATTATTTTTGCTTCATATTTTTCCAGGCTATTGATTAGCTGCACATATGTTCATGACCACAGTAATTCTTAGTGGACATTTCCTAGTGATGTAGTAAGATACACCTCTTTGTCCCTATGAATGTTACTTAATTTAAATAACACTTTTGATAGTACTGCTATCCAAAGGGTTTTTTTTTTTGGTTGTTTATAATTTGCCTGGAGTGTCTTTTTCTATCCCTTCATTTTCTATACATTAGTTGTCTAGTTTTAACTACTTTTAAATGTTTTATTTATTTTTTAGTTATCTTATTACCAGAATGGACAGGCCAGCTAGTGAGGTAGCCATGTGACTAGGTTAGGTGAGAGGTGGTTAAATTATAATATTATTCAGAAATCTAGCCTGGACCATCAGCAAACGATTATTTCATCCTGAGGCTATCTCTAGTAATCCATCTCTTTAGGCTCTGGAGTGTTTTCATTGAAAATATGGATTTTGTTAGTAGAAAACAAGTCATGTAATCCTTCTCTTTGTTAAAACCTATTAAAGCACTAGCTTTTTATATTATAAAATGAGTTATTTTCAGGTTAAAAATTTAATGTACTTTGTTATTTTTATTATCATTTTTAAATGTGATTTCTGAGTTGTGGGCACTGGAATTTTTCTAACTTCTTCTTAAAAGCCCCAAAGAAACATTTTAAAGCAAAAATTTCACATTCTGTGAGCTGATAACTTTGTAAGTGAAAGGGCTTACTAGAATTGGGGAAAGTGAGGGCCAGCAGGTGGTGTGGTAGTTAAGGTGTCAGATACTCCCACATGGGCAACCAAAGTTCACGTCCCAGACCTGGTGGCTTGCTTTCTCACTTTCCCTCTATGTCTCTCTCTAGTCAAATTAAAATAAATAAATACAATAAGTAAATAATTATATTTAAAAAGACACTTGAGGAAAGTTATTAAACAGAAAGTGATGGCGAGAGATCCTGTTAGAGTTATGATTGGATTCGAGATAGATTTAACTAGAATTCTGATGGTACATATAAGAGTCTGATCATTACATGATTTTTTATTTAGAGATTCTCTTCTGAAAATAAATAATCTTTCTAGGTCTGATTTTGTCATATATTCATTAGAAATCAGAATTTCTAACTAGCAAAATGTAAGTTGCTTTCTTCTCCTTTAAAAGACAAAACAGATTAAGGCATAACTTTTTACACCAGAAAGCAATTTTTTTCTTCTTAAAAGTCAATCATTCATCTGCTCATGCATTCAACCACGTACTCACTCATTTGGAAAATGTTTATTGGGTGACTGTTGGTGCCAGACATTATTTAGATTCCTGGCCTACACTGCTGAGCAAAATAAAAGATCCCTGCCCTTATTGAACTTTTATTCTACATAGGAGAGGTAGGCAAATAATAAACCTAACAACCAAACTATACAGGATCACAGAAGATGATTCATGCTGTATAAAAAGTAACAAGAACGAGGTAGACAGAGAGTACAGGATATCTGGAGACAGCGGTGGAGAACAGTGGTAATTTTAAATAGAGCTTTTAGAGTTGGTTGGCCTCATTTGGAAAAAGACTTGAATGAGACAAACAAGGTTCATGGTAGAGAAAAGAGCCGGTGCAAGGGCCCTATGGCAGAAGTCGATGTGCATGTCCAAGCAACGCCAGGAAGCCATGCAGTCTAGAGAGGGATGGGCAAGTAATGAGGTCAAAGAGGGGAGCAAAGGCTAGACCATGAGAAACTTGGGGGGCCACCGTGAACATTTGGGCTTTTCCTGTGAGGACAGGGGGAGCCAATGCCTCTCTACTGACTGGAGGCTCTTCTCTCAATACCATCCAATGTGTTACTAACGTTTTCATCGTTGCCATCTGATGCTGCAATGTAATCATGCATTGTTAGGTTATTTTCAATTTCCTAGCCGGGAGCTTGAGGGTCTTTCCTTTTTACTGTCTACTATAGATTTGGAATTGCTTCTTCTGGATGACTTGTTTATATTCTTTTCCCACTTAAAAAATTAGGTTGTTTGTATGTTTTATTATGTGTATTATTAGTAGTAACCCTTTACATTACAGAACTTACAAAATTTCCCCGCTAATCTAGCATTTATCTACTAATTGGTTTTGGTAAATTTTTTTTTTTGCCAAAAACTAACTTTCACATAGATGAAATTTAAAAAAATATTTCTTTTAGGTTCAACTGCTGTGGTGCAGGCACTGCCATGCAAGGTTGGAGGTCATGTGGGAAGACTCCAAATCTGTGTCTCTGGTCTACCCGAACATGCTGGGTGTATGCACATACATCGTGCCCAGGATATCCTGGCTGCCTGAGGCTGGAGGGCTGCAATAGTATGAAGACTCTGTTGAGGGTGCCTATCTCTTTCTCACATGAAAAAAAAAAAAAAAAAGTTTTTTGGGCCAGCAGATGGTATGGTGGTTAAGGTGGCTGGATCCACCAACTATGTGGTTGAAGTCCCAGACCCAGCAACTTGAAAAACACATGGGGTGATACTCAAAATCCCAAGAGGAAAATGGAGATGGGACTACACCATGGCAATCCCGAGGGATGCTTTCTCACTTTCCTTCTCTCTCGGTTGTTCTCCAGCAAGTGCATGTGCCATTTAGGACATTAAAAAAAAGTAGAGGTTGGGGGAGATAAATGGAAGAAAGGTGTTTTATGGCCCAGCTGTAGCAGCTCAGTAGTAGCACGATACTCTGCATTGCTAGAAGCCATATGGAAGATCAGAATTCAGTTGCTGGGTCAAGCTGTACACACCAGGTATTACATACGTGTGCCCATGATCCTGGCTGGCTGGAAAGTCTGGGGGGAAGATCATGGTGTAAAATCCTGTTGAGGGTGCTTGTCTTTCTCTCTCCTTCTACACCCCCTCCTCTCCCATGAAAGAATAAAACTTTTTTTCTTAAAAAAAAAAAAAAAAGGTTTTTCTGAACTCTGGGTTTTACAAAGAGTTTTAAAATTTTTTCTTCTTAGGTTTTTATGTTGTTTTTTGTTTGTTTGTTTGTTTTTCCCCCTTTTGGATGTTGCTTCTGGATAAGCTTTGAAACTGGAATTCTTACATGACTGCCTGCCATAAAAATAGGCAGTTTTGCAATCTTTTTTTTTAATTGCCAGAAGATTTATGTGCTTACCAGAGACAGAGAGAGAAAAAGAGTAAAAGCACCCTCCATGGGGCATGGGCATGCCATAATCGCTTCTCTCCCATTTCTCTCTCCTATTGGGATTTGGGGCATGTTTGCATACTACTAAAAATGTTTTCTAAACTGCCAGGGCCAGAATTCAAACCATGGTCAGCCATGTGGGATCTAGCTCCCTTAACCACAAGGCTAGCCCTGTTATCAGTTATTAAATAAAATACTGACTTAAATACTACTGCTATCATATTAAAATGAAGTTGCATTCTTTTAAAGAATTATTTTATTTAACTTCATTTTATTTATTGATTTATTCATTCATTTATTTATTTAAACTTGACCAGAGAAGGACAGAATGAGAAACAGAGAAAGACAGAAAGTGAGAAAGCAAGCCACCTGGTCTGGGACTTGAACCGTGGTCAGCCATGCGGGAGCCCAGTACCCTTTAACGACCATGCCCCCTGCCGGCCCCATCATTAAGTATATCTTAAGGTCTAAATATAGTACACCATCTCCAAAAGCTGGAATGAATGATCCAAAAGGGATGGTTTCATAGATTATGAAAAAGAGGGCATATATCAGGATGCCAGTCATACACAAGGCTGAGGGGATAAGGACCCAGAGCAAAAGGGCAGGAGTTTGGTCACCTCATCTACTCACACATGGAAAAATGAACATATGGACATTTTCAAGACAGCCTGATAGACCTGAGAGGGGAAAGAAGTCTTCCCCTTAGGAAAGACAATGAGAACAGAAAAGTAAATAGAAGAGCCACGAGGACTAAAGAAAAGGCAATGTGGGAAATTAACAATGAGGAAAATATGAGCAGATTGGCAGGCAAAATTAAGGGGCTAGCTAGATTTTTATGGTAATAGGTTTAAAATAAAAATCTTGGAAAAGTATATGATTTTTGCCAGCAGATTAAGTGACACAGTAACATTTTTGTGTTTGTCTTGTTTTGTTTTGCTACAGGGCACATGCATTCATCAGAGAGACAGAAAGAGAAAGAGAGAGAAACTTAGAAATCACTCCCCATCCTGGGGGGGGGGATGGCCACGCCACAATCCCTTCTTCTCCAGTCTCTTCTTGACACTTTGGGGATGCAAATACATGCACCTGGCATGATTTTCAAGCCATTGGGTGCAGGACTCGAACCATGGTCAGCATTGTGAAATCCGGTGACTTAACCTCCTTGCCACCTGCTGGCCCCCAAGAGTGAATTTTAAGTTTTTAGTAAATTTACTTTCAGTTTATTTTTCTTAATACTTTCAGACCATGTATGTGAAAAGCTTTATGGTTTCACTTTATTTACTACTTTCAAATTACTTAAGTAAAAACAATGTTTAGCTTATTAATACTTTCAGATAATGTAAGTCAAAAGCTTTGAATTTTGTGGGCTATTGACATTCTCTATCGGTATTTATTCAACTGCAGGGTCAGACTGGGTAGTGGACTGGGAGTTAAATGGATTGGGGTTTTTCACTTAGGCCTGATAAGGAAGAACATAAAACCTGTAGGTATTTTCTATAACTGTGTCACCATCTTGCCATTAAGTTATATTTCATTTCCTCTACTTCGCAGTGCATCATTCATTCATTCATTCAACAAATACTTACTTGGTACCTATAATGTGCCAGGCACTGTTCTACATGCAGAGGATACCCCAGTGAACAAGAGAGACAAGGTTCCTGCTTTCCTGGAACTTATGTTCTAATACAGGAAAATAGACAATAATAATAAAATAATATTAATAAGAATGATAGCTAACATTTGTTTAGCAAGTACTGTTTGCTGACAGTTCTTAGCACTTTACAAGTATTCATTCATTTAATCCTTATAGTTACATTATGAAGTAGGGTCTAAAATTATCCCTACTTAGAATCATGAAGTTGAGGGCATAGAAGGAAAAAAACAAAAAAGAAACCTCACCTAACTAGGATAGAACTGGAATTTAGAATGGAGACGGTCAGGCTACATACATACATATCTTCTTCTTAATGGCTTTGTTATGCTGCCTCTCAGACAAGGAACAAGGCAACAACACATTTAGGTAGCACCCAGTACTATGAAAATATTAAACAGGGTGACCTGGCAGTGTCTGTGCACCTCTGTGCACCTCTACCTGTCTCCTCTGCAAGCATTACAGAAGAGACAGGTAGCATTTGAGCAGACTTGAAGGATGGTAATACAGTTATCTTGGTGAATGGAAAACAGGAAAAACTAGTGCAAAGGCCTTAAAACAGGACTCCTGCCTTGTTTTGTGCCTATGTGGCGGCATCTAGAGTTTAGTGTGTAGGACAGTGACTGCTTGGAAGTAGCAGGAAGGCAGGCAGGAGCCAGATTCTGTGGGGCTTCAGGTCACACTAACAAAAGGGACTGTTAATTCTAAGTACAGTGGAATTATCTGCATAAGAATAAGACCACTTAGAAGTTTACTCAAACTGCTTATATGCAGAATGGACTATAGAACAAAATGGGAAAACAGGAAGGTCCTTTAGGAGCCAATTATAACCCAGGTGGGAAACCATGATGGTTTGAACAAAGGGGTGGAAATGGACTAAACTGAGAAGTAAACTTTGAAATGTGAATCGGTGAGATTTACATAAGAACAGGATGTGAAAGGTGACGGAAAAGTTTAAGTGGGTGCCTTGGGATTTGGGTTTGAATAACTAATATGATGGTAGTGTCCTTTACTGAAATTTGTAGAACTGGGGTGGGGGGGATAACCTTCAGTAAGAAAAACAAATCAAGATTTCCATCTTGAACTTTTTTGGGAAAGGCGCTTTTTCTACCATACTTTCCCCACTTAAAAGTTTCAAATAGATAATTTGGGGGAGTGGACTTAGAAATGTTCAATTGTGTGAGCTCTTATATTTGAAACTAAGTTGGGGGAAGTTGAATTTTCATTTGTTTAACAAATATTTATTGAGCATCTACTATGCGCCAAGGTCTATGTTATGAGATATGAAGACTAAGCAAATAAAACCCTTGCTTTCAGAGTGCGTTTCCTGGAGGGCGGGGGGTAGCTATAAAAGAATGGTGATTTCTTTCTGTTGTTGTTTTATTAAAACTTCACCTAACGCTTGAGTAGCCATCTTAATTCCATCTCGAGCTGGCAGTTGGGCCCACCGTTCTAAACGCTCACTGTCGTAAACGCTAATATTGGTATCTCCCCTCCCAGAAGAACCTACGCGCTTTTTTTAAAGTAAAAATTTCTAACCAACAATACGAATACAACCTTTGCTTTGAAGTCTAATATTTTTTGCAGGAATGGTACCTTTATAAAGATCGTGGTTGCCCCCGTACATTATTTGTTCTTTCTTCATATCCAATTAAATGAAAACACTAGCTTTTCCGTAGCCCAACTCTCTAGGCTGGTTGGGTCTAGCTCAGGAGAAAGGATGGAAGCCGGAGCCGTTGGCTTTACAGTTTGGTGTAATCCTTTTCTACGCTCTCTCCCGCTAGCAGGGGACGTGGTGGTGGCTACCCGAGGCTTTCCGTCCACGCAGTGCCGGAATGAAGGAGTCTGGGAGGGGGTCGGGGAAGGAAAAGACGGGAAAGACATTAAGTAATTGGTTCTTGAAGGTATAAAATGATGTTTGGAGTCTACTCGAAGGCACTGATTTCAAACGCCCGCCCCCTGGACCGTTTCGGCCCCGCCCCAAGCTGTCGTCACAGCGACTTCCTCCTTGGCCCCTGGGGATTGGCCGTTGCCTCCGCCTCCGAGATGCCGCAAACGCGCTTGGGTTTTGCTTCCGGGTCTTGGACCTTAGCCCGGGGCGCAGAGGTTTCTGGGAGGGAAGAGGGAGTAATGGCGTCTGTATGATTTTCAGACGCTGCCGTACCGGACCTCGACCAAAGTGAGCGGCAGGAGGAGAGCAGGTTATCCCCGTTATCCGGGAGGCGGGGAAAGGGCAGGTGGGCTCGGAGTCTAAGTACCGATCGCGGGCGAGGACGCGCGGCAGCGGCGGGCTGCTGGCGGAGCCCAGTGCCGGTGGAGCGCGTCCGGAGCCCTCGGGCCGAGAGCCGAGAGCCGAGCGCCGCGGGAAGGCAGCTCTGCCTGCTGCAGTAAGCTGGCCCCAAGTCCCTCCCACCGCCGGGCAGGGCCGGGACAACTGACAGAGTTCCCGGTGAGGGCGGGCTCCCGAGAGGCCGCGGTGATCACTCCGGAGGCTTGTGGGAGGCCGCGGCGCCCCCAGCGGCAGAACACGTTGTGTCTTCCTTTTTGGTTGTGTCTTCCTTTTTGCGTATACATTTTACCCGTTTTGAAAGTCTAGAGAAGGATGCAAAAAAATCTTCCCGATTTTCTCGCACGCTTGCTGTTCCAACGCTGACGGGGTTCTAGTAGCCGCTCCTACGTGGCGGTATTTTGTTCTTTCGGACTGCTCAAAGGCATAAGGAACGTACACGTTATCGTCATCCTTTCCGGGAAAGGTTCCTGTCTTCTGAATGTTCTTTAAATCATAACCTACAAAGGATCAGATTTATATGTTGTAGGAGAAATTGGGTCAACCAAAAATTGTTGACGGTTTCGCTCATGAAACTGCCATTGAAGTTTGGCATACTTCTCCGGGACACTCAGGGATTTTGTCATTGATTTGTTTTAAATTTTGTTTTTGTTTTTACTAGCTTTTTGTTAATGTGTGATGTTTAGATAAGATGCAAATCCAAGGGTAGTCTGGAGGAGTTAAAGTTAGGAATTTTTAAAACTCAGTCATGGCAGAACTGTAGTTTACAAGGACTTTTGGTGTGACTAGCCTTGTAATTCTCTCACGAATCCTATGAGGAATATCACTCCACAGATTACAGAAATTTAAATTAGGTGACATGCCCAAGGACACACAGCCAAAACAAAATAGGAATACAAACTCACGTTTTTGTGACGGAATTTTTTGTATTTAATAAGAGATGCCTGAAAAGCCATACATATACTCCTGAGTCTCATAATTTGTCTTCTTGAGAACTTTAAGAAGATTATTTAAGCAAATTTTGGGGATGAGTTTTGGAAATTATTTCACAAGGATGTCTGTTGATGAATACTTTGTAAAATAGGTCATTTTGGAAATAAGTTGACACTGTTTTTCTTCAAAGCATAAAAGATGACGACAGCAGCCAGGCCAACTTTTGAACCTGCAAGGGGTGGAAGAGGAAAAGGAGAAGGTGATTTGAGCCAACTCTCAAAACAGTATTCAAGCAGAGACCTACCCTCGCATACAAAGATAAAATACAGGTGATACTCATTTTTTTCTTGTTCACAAACCAAGACCAAATCTGTTCATGGTGTGGTCATGATATAGTTGAATGTTTGAGTTAGATCACTTAAATTATCTGTTTTCATAGAAATAGAATTCAGTAGTGTTTAGCACTAACATTTTAAGATTTAGTTTGGGTTTATTGAAGTGTTGGAAACGTTACTAGAGGGCCCTGTAACCTTCTGATTTAGTTATGGTTTTGTCACTTCCCTTTTTTATGTTGAAGGACAAAGTTGCATTTGTGAATTGTTTTCCATTGCCACTGTTATGTGGTCTTTTTGTTTTTGTTTTGTTTTTTTTGGTAACAGTTTTTACCCTGGTTGATTTCTACTTCAGACAGACTACTCAGGATGCCCCTGAAGAAGTTCGCAACCGTGACTTCAGGAGAGAGTTGGAAGAGAGAGAGAGAGCTGCTGCCAGAGAGAAAAATAGGGATCGTCCAACTCGAGGTACCTAAATATTCCAAACTTTGCCTTATGAAATTATGTCAGTAGGTTTTCTTTCATGTAGTCATTTGAAAAAGATGAATACTTTTGTTTGCTCTTAAATATCAGTATGAACTGTAACACTTTCTTAATGATTAGATTGAAAAAAAGGTTCATTCCATCTCCATCTTGTTAGGCTTCTGGAACAGGGTGTCTGGGGGTATTTACAACCATCATTTTGGTTCAGTCTAGGGTGCTTGACTGTTTACAGCAGCTAACCCCAATGGTTTCTGTCCACGAGAGTCTCCCATTTTTGGAACTGGCTGTTGAAGGGCATCTAGAGGTATCAGTTATATTTCTGTTTCCAGCATATAAACTATTTTCTGAATTTGCTGACAGAGACTGTATTTCCTATGTTGAAATCAGTGTTGCCATTAATTCATTCAACAAATATTTACAAAAGTTTATTTGCTGGGCACTGTGGGTGTGATCTCTGCTGCCATAATGCTTTTAATGTAAGCTTTTTGTGCCCCCCCCACCCCCCGTTTCCTAAAACATTATAGGAAATTTATTTGTTTCAGAAAAAAAACAGATGTATTGTTTTCTTCCAGAACATACGACCTCCTCTTCAGTGTCAAAGAAGCCACGATTAGACCAGATTCCTGCCGCCAACCTTGATGCAGACGACCCTCTGACAGACGTATGTTTCATTTCCTCCTTTCATCTACCTAGTAATTTACTCATGAAATATTTTTTATGCTTTTGTCTTTGAAAAGTTTTCCACGTTTATTTTATTTACTATTATTCATATGTATCCTGAATTAAATGATAAGCTTTACCGTTGATTTTGAAGCAGAAAGTTTTTTTTATGATGAGGACTTCAAGAACAAATTTGATTTCTAAACAACCAAATATAAAAAGCAATCTATTAAAGAATGTACTTTCCCCAAAATAATTTCTGTTCTAAACCCTGGAGATTGGGCTACTGTGTTACATAGCTCCAAAGAGCATTCTTTGTACTGGGTTCTGTATAAACAGCATCCTCTAGAATTATACCCAGGGACCTTTATACATTAGGTATGATGCCCCTTCCAGATGTGCAGTGGTTTCCTCTAGGCCTCGAGAGGGAAATAATCTAAGGGTTTATAAGCATTGGTACATCAAGTAACATCAAAATTCACTGGGACTGTTTGTTCTATATAATTAATTTGCAGTATTATACACAGTACAGTGAAAAAAAAATCATGGGAACTTTCATGGGTAGTATCTAATTACGCACATTTATTAGCAGTTAATTTAAGAATTGACTGGTGGAGTTACTTAAAATAATTAAGACAAACCAAATTTTGAGTGAAATTGAATGGTTATTTGTTTAAAATTACTTTATTCTGGGAACTTAGCACCCCCTTTTTGTATATTTGGTTATTTTACATGGTAGCTTAAAGTAGTTTTGAGCTACACAAAATTATTTTGACTGTTTTGGGGTGATTCACTCTGCATATATACACTTTATTTCAGTGTACAGGTTTTTTTTTATTATTTTATATTTTCTTATGAAAATTTCCTTTTGGCCACATATATTCAAAAGCCACTTTATCAGGGGTTGACATTTTAGGAAGTACTCATCAGCTATTGTGTGGATTTTTTCTTTCTTTTCTTTCTTTTTAGTTTTTGCTGTACACTCACCAGAGAGACAGAAAAAGAGAATAATAAAGCATACCTTGCACCCCTCCCTGGGAATGGCCACACTGCAATCCCTTTTCCTCTAAATGGTTATTTGTTTAAAATTACTTTATTCTGGGAACTTAGCACCCCCTTTTTGTATATTTGGTTATTTTACATGGTAGCTTAAAGTAGTTTTGAGCTACACAAAATTATTTTGACTGTTTTGGGGTGATTCACTCTGCATATATACACTTTATTTCAGTGTACAGGTTTTTTTTTATTATTTTATATTTTCTTATGAAAATTTCCTTTTGGCCACATATATTCAAAAGCCACTTTATCAGGGGTTGACATTTTAGGAAGTACTCATCAGCTATTGTGTGGATTTTTTCTTTCTTTTCTTTCTTTTTAGTTTTTGCTGTACACTCACCAGAGAGACAGAAAAAGAGAATAATAAAGCATACCTTGCACCCCTCCCTGGGAATGGCCACACTGCAATCCCTTTTCCTCTATCCTCTCAGGATTTTGGACACACATGCACAAATGCTGGGCCTGTTTTTCCATCTGCTGAGTGGAGACTTGAACTGTGCTGTTAGCCATATGGGATCCAGCTGCCTTAACCACCACATTACTGGCTGGCCTGTGGGATTTTATTTTATTCTTTGGTTGGTTATTATTTTTTTAAAGCTTTATTTTATTATTAGTTTGGTATACTCACCAGGGAGAGAGATTGGGAAAGTGAAATATCTCTTTCATTCTCCTCTTGGAATTTGGGGCATGTGCCCAATGTGTTTTTCAAGCCGCTAAGTCTAGGACTTGAACCTCGCAGTCGACCTTGTGGGCTCCAGCCACCGTAACCACCACACCACCAGCTGGCCTGGTTGTTACTGTTAATCTTGATATTTGGGCATGCTTATCTTTCCCATTGGGAAAATTAATGGGAAAAAGATGAATAATGTGATTTTTTTTTCAGTCTTCTATATCATGACTATTCTTTTTGTAGGAGGAAGATGAAGATTTTGAAGAGGAGAGTGATGATGATGACACTGCAGCTCTTCTTGCAGAACTAGAAAAAATTAAAAAAGAAAGAGCTGAAGAACAGGCCAGGAAGGTAAAAATCAAAGCATTAAGTATTTGTATCTCCCTGTTTTCTCACACATACTGAAGTAGAAATTGTTAAAATTCAAGCAATGTCTTCTCATATTAAAAATGTTCTTCACCATGTCTAGGTATTATAGCATCGTAAATTTGTAAGTCTTTTTGTGGAGAGGTTTTTCCTATAGGGCACGTGCCCTGGACAGAAAGACAGAGAGAGACAGAGACACAGAAAGTGAGAAATCACCCCCCAGGGGATTTTGGGCATGCACGCACATGTGCCTGGCGTGAGTTTAAGCCACCAGGTCCGGGACTGCGGTTGGCTACATGGGAGTCCAGTGACATAGCCATTACGCTAACTGCTGGTCCCTATAAGTCTTATTTTTATGGTATCCTAGGTCTCCTTGTGTTAGAAATTCTTTCTAAGTAATTTCTCATTATTCATTGTTTGTCCATTTGTTCAACAGACATTTAGTCAGTGTCTATTAAGTATCAGAAGAATCAAAGATGATTAAAAGACAGTCATGACTTGAAAAGACTGGTCTCTCTCTGTCTCCTGCTGAGGCATTTGTTGAAGCAGTCTGTCCAGATTTTATATAATTTAGAGTAAGCCCACTAGTCTTTCTATTTACACAGTGGGAGAAAAATAAAATCTAACTAAGAGATAGTTAAAACTTTGAGTTACCCGGAGTAGTAACAGTGAAACGAAACTGGGAGACAGGTATAGAGAGCATATTAGAGGCTTATAAGCCAAATGGCTTTATTCTGAAGGATATGAGGAGCCAGGCGATTGCAGCAGGAGATTGATAAGAATCAATGCACATTTTAGAAAGATTTCTTTTCCAGAATAGGAGGAGACATGAGGGGAAAAATGAGTTAGGAACCTGTTCTGATCTTCATATGCAGTTTTTAAAATCTTAACTTGTATAATAGGAGTTGGAATTAGACAAGTAAACAGGTGCAGCTAGAGTTAGCAAGGAGCGGTAATTGACTATAAATCGACTAATTGTGGGTAAATGCTGGTCACATTCACTAAAGCAGAACACGGAAGAATGGGCACATGTAGACAGAGAGCTAGAGATGATGAGTTCTGTTTTTAGGATGTTGAATCTGACACATTGGGGGAGACAGTCACATAGAGATGTCTGCACCCATTTCAGACCAGAACAGGACAGCTTTTTTAGAGACTTCTGTGTGACATTTTATTTGAGCCAAAAATTGGTCTGTGTAAAGAGTGAGGGAAGGATGGTGATCAGTGGAAATGCAGTGCTCTACAATGCTGTCCCACCTGGGAAGGTTCTGGGTTAGTGTCGAGAGGCCTCCCATGTGTGGGCCTGTGATCCAGGGTTGGCTGGGTGTGAATCTTAAAAACAGACATATTGGCTGTTTGGGGGGTGGGGGGGTCACTCACTGTCTCATGAAGAAATTAAAAAAAAAAAAAACTTAAAGAGGGAAAAAGACTTTGAAGAAAAGATAGTGACAACGTTAATGGTAGAGATCTGGGGAAGTAGGGTCCATGTGAGACAGGTCAGAGAAAATTTCAGAAAAGAGAATTTGTGATAGAGTTTGAAGACAGTTCAAGTTCAGATTAGAAGAAAAAAGTATTTAGAGATGCATTTCGCATAGGAGCATAATTTCTTATAATTTTTCTAATTTTTAAATATCAAAAAATATGAGCATTCCCAATATCTCTTGGACACCACTAGAGGGCGCTTGTACCCATTTCTTTTAGCCTGCCTAACAGCATTGGATACATCAAACAGTTGAAATGCTTTAGTTTGACCTTTAAGGAGGATAAACATTTCAGACAGAAAGTTTTACAGTTTGTGAATTTCTTCTATCCTCTTGGGGTTGCTATTGGGTTGTCATAAAAGTCATGACATATTTTTCTATACAAAAATGACTCATAAGTTTTCCAATGACCCAATAAAATAAAAATGAAGAATGATAGTATTATAACTGTTGAGATATGAGAAGTTTAAAAATAAAAGTAGCAATAAATAATGAACAAAGAGGATACACCTCTGTTAATAGAAATGCATGATAACTGAATATAATTTTTTACATGGTAGTTTTCTTTTAGAAGTTACTTTTTGGTTGATAATAACTTGAGATGCAAGTTTATATGTTTAATTCAAAATGAAACTAATTTTAATCACAGTCACAGCCCTTTAAAAATCGAAGTAGTAGCTTTGCTAAGTGTGTCTTTGATTAATGTGTTCTTATTAAAATGTATTTCTTGACATACTCTTAAATTTTTTTTCTTTGAGAGAGAGAGGGTTTTGCTATAGGATACATGCGCTCACTGGAGAGACAGAAAGCGAGAAATCATCCCCCTGGGTGGTGACCATGCTGCAACCCCTCCTTCATTCTCTTCCTGGGATCTTGGTGATCAGTGTGATTTCAAAGCCACTGAGTCTGGGGCTCGAACCACATTCGGCCATGTGGATGTCCAGCAACATAAGCGTTACGCCATCTGCTGGGCCCGACATACTCTAAAATTTAAAGCAATTCATTTTTTGTGCACGTCAAGAAAGAAAATTGGGCCCAACGAGGATGGTGCAGTGCTAGTGTGCCACTCTGCATGCTAGGAGCTACCCAGAAGGTGTGGGTCCAGGTCTTGATCGACCTGTGCATGTGCATGCCAGCCGTGTGCACACACAGATGCCCTTGATCCTGACTGAGAAGGCTGGGGAGGGTCACGAAGTGAGTCCCCCTGTTGAAGGTGCCTGTTTTTCTCTCAGCCTCTCTCTCATAAAAGAAAGAATCTTAGAAATAAAGAAATGTGTTTTCCTCTGTCATTAATAGGAACAAGAACAAAAAGCTGAAGAAGAGAGAATTCGAATGGAAAACATTCTCAGTGGAAACCCGCTACTTAATCTCACGGGCCCATCCCAGCCCCAGGCCAACTTCAAAGTTAAAAGAAGGTACTATGCAGTATTGGATTGGAGATTATATATACATAATATTATATACATATATAGATTATGAGTTGTATATCAAAGTACATATGTAAAGCTGATAAAACCTCACCTTCCACTGAATCCTTATCTAATAGATTTTGGAATGATGGAAAAAAGAGATGGAAAGAAAATTAAATTATTTTCAATAGATATTTATAATACCCAATTGTGTACCAGATGATCTAAGCACTAGGGATAGAGTAATAGACGGAGCCCCTGATTCTGCACAGCTTACATGTTGTGTGTGTGCAGTTTCTCCTGGCATGCATGCATGTGCATGCACACATACAAACACATTTTGTGGGCTTGTATTATATACATATTTATATAGAGAGCATCTATATTATATAGGGCTTGTATTTTATGCACTAAATGGCATACAGAAATCATACTCTATTTTCTATAACCCTACTTATTTTATGGCCCCCATGGGTGTTTTGTTAATGCTCATACTTTGTGAAACCCAACTAGAGTTCTGTCCTGAGCTCTTTAGCTGGTATTTCCCCATGGTTAATGTAAATGTGGGCCAATATATGATCCTTAATCGTTATGCTCAATAGTTTCCTCTTCTCTTGTCTTATAATGTGAATACTACAGTGGCTGATCGTTAAATATGAACAGATTAAAGAGCATAATATCCTCAAAACCACATTATGTAGACTACAAAAACTGATCAGTTATTGTCAGCTAGAGATGTCTACCAATCTGGGTAGTTTTAGGTGTTTTTCTTTTTCATTTATACCTGAAAACATTAAATATTTATGTAATTATATGTTTCTGTTCTTCAAGGTTTTTTCCACTGGAAAAAAATAGCTAAAATGCTTTATATGTTCTAAATAGGAATTGCCCTTCCTGCTCTAATAAAGCAAGATTACGTATTAAGGATTACTTACTCTTTTGGGCGTGTAATTGGTGCATCAACTAATGTGCATGTTGAGTCTCCTGTATAATGACTGAGCTTTGCAATGCACATGGTCTTGTGTCTTGATGAAAACATTACAAGGCATTCTGTTTTCATTTTTCTCTGCAGGTGGGATGATGATGTTGTCTTCAAGAACTGTGCAAAAGGTGTAGATGATCAGAAGAAAGACAAAAGATTTGTAAATGATACTCTACGTTCTGAATTTCATAAAAAGTTCATGGAGAAATATATTAAGTAGTACAGTTTTATGTGCTTAATTAAAGACTGTAAAATGTAAAGGTGCATTCTGATTTTTTTATTTTGGTTGGTTCCCCTGCCCCCCGTCTAATTTGTGTATAGGCTTCCTTAATTTTAAGTTCCAAAATACCTTTTCCTTTAGTGATAATTTATTTGATAATGGACTTGGGAACATGTTTAACCTGAATCTCATTCTCTAAATGTTTCCAGTCATGCTGTTTTTTTCTTCATATGGTAAAGGGAATCTGCTTTAATAAATATTTTTAATCTAAATAAACATCTGTGTTCCCAATTTTTTATTATAATTTATGTAGGTTATAAAGCATTGCATAATTGCTTTTGGAAAGAAAAATTACTTTTGTATATGGTGTTTATGTATTAACCCCCCTCCATTCCTCTCACATTGATTTAAAGTCATTTAATTCATATTTGTGCATTTTTTAAACAAGTATGATCAAAGACAAAAGGGATTCCTTTTTTTTTCTTTTGAGAGGCTTTTGCTGTGGGGTGCATGTGCTCACCAGAAAAACTGAGACAGAGAGACAGCGAGAAATCACCCACCAGGGAGATGGCCATGCTGCAGTCCCTTCTCCTCCATTCTCCTCTTGGGATCTTGGGCATGCACGCACACTTGCCCAGTGTGAGTTTAAGCCACTGGGCCCAGGACTCGAACCGTGGTCGACTGCACGGGAGTCCAGCAACATAGCTAACTGTTGGTCCCAAAGGGATTCCATTTTGAACCACATGTTGGTATGGAAGAGTGTCATTAATCAGAAAGCTCTCAAGCATGTGTCTGGGAGAGCATCATGTGTCTCACTCTGCAGGTGCTGAGATGAGAGCTCCATCAGCTTTCTTAGGAAGGTGACACCCGTGTCTAGGATACTCGCCTGCTGTGTTCTGACTGCGATAGTTTGCACACTGGCATGCATTAGTGCAATGCCTAGGAAAGTTCCCATTCAAATATATGTAAAATAAAACCTTTGGAAACAGGATTTTCTTTTATCTTGGAGGGTATGTCTGTGAGAGGGAGAGGCATGGCTGGACTCTGTTAAAGAGCAGTACTCCTGAGAAATGAAGTTTTCCTACACTTGGGCTCTGATTGAAAGCTGCCGCTTGATTAGGGAATTTGGAAACTGAAATTGAGCCTTCCAGAGACCCGTTCATAGCATCCCTGAGTTGTGTGATGTTGGACTAGGTAAGATTTAAGATAAGACTTAAAATCCCATGTTACTTACCTCTTGCTATTTATTTGAATCCTTTTCTCTAAGAATGTTGTACTCTATTTTGCCAGTGGAAGCTTGGATATGTGTTATTAGCAGCCTGACTCAGGAGTAGGGCAGGGCTCAGTTTCACATTTATGCCTTATATTTTTTCAAACTGAGTTATTTACACAAAATTTTGAATATTTCACCTAGTGTTTTCATAAGAACCACTGCTATTAAAACCTTGTTTTTATTTCCAACTTTACAATTTATAAAAGTGCCTTTACAGGGACCAGCAAATGGCTTAATGGTTATGTCACTGGACTCCCGTGTAGTTGACCGCAGTTCGAGTCCCCACACAGTGCCAGTGCCTTAACCACATAGAAATGTGCCTTTTGGTTTTTTTGGAGAGGTTTTTGCTATAGGGCGCATGCGCTCACCAGAAAGAGAGAGAGAGACAGAAAGTGAGAAATCACCCCCCAGGGAGGATGGCCACGCCGCAATCCCTTCTCTATTCTTCTCTTGGGATCTTGGGCACGCACGTACATGCACCTGGCGTGAGTTGAATCCACCAGGTCCAGGACTCAAACCGCAGTCGACTACATGGGAATCCAGCGACCTAGCCATTACACTAAGTGCTGGTCCCAAGAAATGTGCCTGTTGATGTGAGTGGCATTGGATTTCTACAACTGAGTTCTTGGAATTTCTTTTTTATCTAAAAGACATAAAGTTCACACCCAAAGGCCCAATGTAGGACCCTCCTGTTCGTCCAAGATCTACTTATTTTGAATTTCCCATTTGAGCCTGAGAGGTTCAGAAGAGTCAGAGTAAAGATAACATCAATGATTGTTTTCTCCCTTTCATTATGGTTTCCCAGTATGAAACAAATTGTGTCAGCTTTCAGACTTTGCCATGCAGGTAACAGCCTGCTCAGCTAAAATGCCTCACATCGTCCTTGCAGAATACCTTGTGCTGGAGCAACGGAGGGATCTGTTTTAGCCCTTCAGGGGCAGATGTTGAGTGAAAACACAGAGCTCAGAAGCCCAATGGGCCTGGCTGGAAAGTCCAGCTCTGGCACTTGGAGCTTTATTAGAGTGAGCATGTGTTGATTGCTCCCCATTGCACTTGCACTGCATTATCTAATCCACACCATTCCCATCAAGGCATTATTTCCCCCATTTTATAGATAAGGGAATTGAAGTTCATAAGCAAAGTTTAAAACCAGGTCATAAACCTTCAGGAGAAAGGGACCAACATTCAGTGCTGAAACTCTTCTAGCCTAGTCTCTTAACTGCTATGTGTGACTGCCTTTTCTGTTAACCAGCCCTCCTATTTCTCTCGTAAAATACTAGCAATGAAACAATTTTAAGGAAATTCTGTGGGGAGTAAGTAATACAAGACCTCGCTGGCACATAGTAGGTACTTCCTACATATTTACTTCCTAGCAGCCTCTACTAGCAAACAGCAGAGGCTGACTAAGTTTGCAAACCTATTATTTTGTTTCATAATAAAAGTTTGGTTTTGAATTAAGATGGTTAGAAACACAGTCACAGGGACCAGCAGGTGGCATGGTTGTTGAGGTGCTGGACTCCCACATGGCTGACTGCAGTTCGGGTCCCCACTTGAAAAACCACACTGGGCACGTGTGCATGTGTGCCCCAAATCCCAGGCGTCTGGAGGAGAAGGGACTGTGGCATGGCCATTCCCTCTGGGGGGTGATTTCTCACTTTCCCTCTCACTGTATGTCTCTGGCGAGGGCACGTGACATATGACAAAAACCTAAAAAAAAAAAAATGCAGTCATAGAAACTCAAGTATAATGGAGGTTTATCTTAAGAATTCTTTTCTTTTAATAAAAAAAATTGTATTAGAAGCATTCAGAATGTCAGCAAAACAGCTGCAGCTGCAACTTTTTTTTTTTTGCAATTACAGAGTGATATTCAGTTAACAGAACAATTATTTCATATAAGCTGCATCAGAGACAACTGAAGATGAAAAACTACCATCCCCATATATAACTAACTTGTGCTGTGCACCAAGAACCTGCTTTGGGGCCAGCAGTTAGTGGAATGGCTATGTCGCTGGACTCCCATGTAGTCGACCGCAGTTCGAGTCCCGGACCCACTGGCTTAAACTCACACTGGGCGCTTGTGTGTGTGCCCAAGATCTAACTAATTTGTGCTGTGCACCAACAAGAACCTGCTTTAAATTTCCATGCCAATTTACAACCCCCATACTGTACCAGGCAAGGTTAGTGGCTATTGAAAATGCCACCAGGACAGGGCGATCTAGAGACACATTTGGTAGTGTGTTAGCTATACAAAAAAAGACCCTGTACAGTTTGAAAACAAATCTTACACAGCCTTACATTTCAATTTTTTTTCTTTAAAAGGAGCGAGTTGTGTACGGGGGGGGTTAAATGCTTTATAGACAAGGAAAAAAAAAACTGTGCTAGCACCAACTTATTTATCACCATCTGCATCTTCATCCTCTTCATCCTCTTCATCTTCCTCTTCATCTTTTTCATCTTCCTCATCTTCCTCTTCTTCATCTTTCTCGTCTTCCTCCTCCTCCTTCTTTTTCTTGCTCTTTTCAGCCTTGACAACTCCCTTTTTTGCTGCATCAGGCTTTCCTTTAGCTCGGCATGCAGCAATATCCTTTTCATATTTTTCCTTCAGCTTAGAAACTTTCTTTTCAAAAGGCTGTTCATCATCTGCAGCAGTGTTATTCCACACCGCTCCCAGTGTTTTTGAAAGATCATCAATGGATAGGCCAGGATGTTCTTCTCTGATTTTTTGGGTGATACTCAGATCAGACCAAGAAAAAGGCTGAATGAGGTCTCTTGGGTGCATTGGGATCCTTGAAATTCTTTTTTTGTTTCCCCTTTAGGAGGGATATAGGTTTTCATTTCTCTTTCATAACGGGCCTTGTCCCGCCTTTGCCATATCTTCAAACTTTCCTTTTTCTTTAGCAGACATGGTCTTCCAGCTCTCTGAGCACTTAAAAACTCTGAGAAGTTGACTGAAGCATCTGGGTGCTTCTTCTTGTGCTCCTCCCAACAAGTTCGCACAAAGACTGCATATGATGACATTTTGCCTCTCGGCTTCTTAGGATCTCCTTTGCCCATGTTTAGCCATCTTTACTCCACGAGGCACAGAGTTGCCCAGTGCCCGTCCGGCTCTCACTTGCCCCGGCGCTGTTTCTATGGAGCGCAATGTACTGCAATGACTGTCTATCTTAATCCTTAAAAGGTACTTCCTCTGTCCAGCTCTTGATCAATTTTCCTGTCATCATCTGATCCACTTTCTCTGCAAGGCTTGGTTTCCGTACTGCAGAACTGGAGGTCATCCATTCATTTTCCTGCCTTCTCTGGAAGAGAGGTTTCAGGGCTTCATCCTGAAGGCCGAATGCTCAGCCCTGCTGTATTGCTAATAATTTTATCTTCAAATGTGTGTTTTTGAGTGAAATCTGATGTGGCAGCAGAGCCTGTGCTGGAGGCTTGGAGCCTTGGCTCCCTGATGGGTCTTGAGCGCCCACTCCTGGCCCAGGCCTGGGTGCTGGCTCCCACCCAGACGCAGGTAGAAAAGTTGCAACCCAGGGAGCGGAGGCCTCGGGTGTTCTGCTGGGGCAGTGTCCTGCTAGATACTGAAAGCATGGCACCCAGGGGGGCAGGGGTGGGGCTTGTCCTGGCTTTAGGATACCTTAGAAATTTCTATCTGGCAAGCAAGATAGAAATCCTAGGAAGGGCCGGTGAAACAAGTGAAAGGGAGAGAAGATGGTTAGAGTTTCTGAAAGATGAAATATGGGTCCAGATTCTGTCTTCTCTACGCTACAATCGCA